GTTTACTGTCCACTGTTCTACGTGGCTGATGTAAAATGTGGTCAGTCAGAGTAGATGTCGAATTACTACACGTTTTTACTGTATCACATACATCGACTCAGGTGGTTAGGACAACTGCAACACATGCCAAGCCATCGTGTTCCCTGCTGAACAAAGTTATTTGTTATGACTGAAATGACAGAGGTTGTCAGATCCTTCACTTTTGGTTAGGTACAGAGTTGCTTACTGCGTGGATGGATAGAGTTCTTGGGGTTCTAACTATCGATGTTTTGGTATTATCGATGAGATGATATTCGAAGTCGTCCTCAATGGTGTAGGTGCACTCACTTTCTGTTCTCATTGTTCTCCACGTGGAGTGGTGTAGTTAGGCTCGCGCGTATTTGTGTACAGTATCAGGCACATCTGTAGCTTATTTTTAAATATTCATTTAGTTAGAGTATACAGGCAACGCATTTGTGTTCTCTAACTGCTGAAAATATGCAATCTATCTGTATAAAGAAGAGTCGCCAAAATTGAGTCAGGTGGAGGAGGTTTCGAAACTGTGACCCAGTGGAAAGGAGTCAAGCATCCAGACCAATAAACCACAGCTCCACTGCGAATAAGCTATTATCGATAGTTCTTCCATCGGGTTCAATTTTGGCAGCTGACTTGCTTGCGAAGCTTAAAAATGGTCCATTGAAACAAGTGATACGTAAAATGGTTCTGTTTTTTCCTTATGTTACCGACTGAGGGACGTGTGTAGCTGGCTGTGAGAGAGACATTGTCGCCATTGAAAGTGGAAGACAGGAAAAGCCTGGCTGGACAGCTGTCTTTGATCACAAGAGTCTGCATCTTTCTAACTCCTTTGTTAGGTGCGATAATAGGGTGAGTAATATTGAGGTTAAGCTTCGGTGGAGTGCTAGGTAAGGAGGGATGGAAAATCAATCATTGACGAGGTTGTGAAGCCACATGGATTGAGTGAGATGGTTAGGACATGTATTACTCATGCATGTCTAGCCTAGCCATCTACGTCGTCGACCGACAGTCAATGTTAGCTGACATAGGATTGTTGAAGTAGGAGACGAGTTATTGTGGGTGATCAAACGGAGATATGGCTTCATCGGTGTATAAAGTCCATGACAGTTAGTTCCAACCAGCCACGTTGAGAGGTGTAGACTGCGTGCTGGCTGGTTGGAGTTCTCGGGCTAGTGGTAAAAACCAATGATGTTTGGAGACAATTGGCTTAAAATCGTAGTCAGATGCATTCACTGTTTGTGATAATTTTTCATATGGAATAAAACTATTGTTCTTCCTTATTATGTGCGTCGGTGGCACATGTGGTTAGGACTCTCGCCAACCATGCACATGGTCCGAGGTTCGAGCCCACGCCGACGCACACCTAATATCTATGGTCGGCCTGCGAAATTTGGGCTACCGATATCCACGCTGAAAATTCCATACCTGTACCAAAAATACGGTGTGGAATCAAGCTGTAATCAAAAATAAAAAAATACTATTCTTTTTCCCTCACACACTTCTGTTTATTATCTGTCTTTCAGGGAATCTCTCCTTACTCGCTTTTCTTGCTTTGTGTGGTACATGAAGGGAGAGTGGCCAGTTGAATTGGTGCACATCTGAACAAAGTAGTTCTATGTTGAAACCAGTCAGTCAGTAGGTTAGTGATACTTTTGTCATATTCGATGAGAAAGCTGACAAGAATAAAATTTAAGCAGAATTTAACGATGCACATTCATCTCTCATGTTCACTTGTGAAGGAGAAATGACAGTAGTCTATATTTCCGTGATATCCAGTTGAGCAGAAGAGAGGACAGTTCGTTCAGGAGAGGTGTCTATAGAACTCCTACGTCAGTAGTATATTACATATATGTATATATTATATACATTCCTTCGTTTTTTTACCAATCCGATACTAAATCAATTTGGTCAGGTGATTCCCGAACAGAGCAAGAAGGACCTGTATAGATGACTCCCTAGGAAATCAGTTAAGATACATCCAAAATATGCTGGTTCAAATGGGTTATCCTTGGAGATTTGTAATAAGACATATGAACAGCATGTATATTAAACAGAAACTGACAGCAGTTGATAAGAAACAACTGTTCCTGAAATTGCAATTTAACGGGGACGTGGCTAGTGAAGTTCTCCATCTAAGGTTAGCTAGGGGAGTAAAACGAACTTATACTGCCGCCACCCTTTGTTTCTTATATCCTAGTCGACCAATTATGATTCCTCAAGCAAAAGACTGGCTTCCTAGCTTTACCACGTGTATTAACAAATTTATCTGCTCCTGTTTTTAGAAAGCGAACAACAACACAGCTCAACAAACGCATAATTACTGAACATCTTCCTTCATGGTTCGGAAAAGGAAAGGTAAAATCTATAGGGAGCTCTATTACTTTCACATTTTATTGATCATAGAATTCACCAAGTGGACAGAAGAAGAAGGTCCTTCAAACTTATCTGTCGAATTCCACTGAACCTTCCGAACGGAATTCGAATCCTCCTTTCACACATACATAGCCAATGCTATAGGAATTAATTCGAGAGAACACTCCTAATCCTCTGATTTGACACTAGTAACTAGTGTGACGTGTCTAGCCCTTTCTTTGGTGCAGACTGAGTTCCTATCAGTTAGGTTTGCAGTTTGGCCACCATTCTAGGTAGCTCGCCACCACGGTGCACATTGATACGCCTTGTTGACGAGTGCGAGCTAGCACGAAACATAGGTCAAAGGCTTCCTGCCGATTGCCTCCAACTATATAATCCTAATCCTTGCCCATAAAAGAAGTTTGTTCTACCTTCAGCTCTCCTTCGACTTAAGTAAATTCTAATAAAACCCTCCCACTCCTATTCTCCCTTTTCTTTGGTGCTTTTATGAGATTTATTTAAACTTTTATTACCTGTCCACTTCACCTCTATCATTAAGTAACTTTTAGGATTTGACCTGATTGTTTATTTATTGTCTGCGTATACGCACATAGTAATGCCTTCATTAATCTCGTTATTATTGATTTTCAAAATATTTAGCACATTATTATTATTTGATCCACAAACTCACCGTTATTGGTTTAAACATATATATAAAGCTATGTGAATCAGAGTAAAGCCTCAACAATATTGTTCGCTTGTACGTCTCTTGTTTTAATGCAATCGAAACTCAGCAGTCCGCTCCGTCCTCCTTTATGGCTGTGAGGGAGACCTGACCATTGAGAGTGGAAGACATGAAAAAATTAGCTGTCTTTGATCATAGGTGGCTGCGTTCTATCTCCCGTGTGAAATGGTATAATAAGGTGAACTATATTGAGTTTAGGATTCGGTCGAGTGCTAGGTAAGGAAGGGAAATCAATTGACGAGGCTGTGAAATTACATCGACTAAGATGGTTAGGACATGTGTTACGTATGTCTACTTCGACGGACAATGTTAGTTGCCATAGGGTCAGGCTGGAGAAGAGCTAGCGGTTGTCAAACCAAAACATGGCTTCATCAGTCAATGAAATCCACAACAGTTAGTTTAAGCCAGCCACGTAGGGAGGTGTAGACTGGCTTCCCGGTTGCGGTCATCGGGACGGTAAAAACCAATGGTTGGAAACAATTAGTGATATGGCTCAAAATCGTTCTCAATGGTGCAGATGCATCCACACCTTGTGACTTATGATTTCCAATGAAACTATGTTGTTCTTCGTTATTACTCTTCCTTTGTCTCACACGTCTGTTTACTGTCTCTATTATGCATTTCTTCTATTTTCTTCTGTTGCTTTGTGTGCTACATGGAGTGTGGTGAATTGAACTGGCGCACATATGTGCAAAGTTCTATGTCGAAAACAGACATGCAGACAAATTATTAATAACTTTAAATTTATGTAGAATTCTCTCTAATTGTTAGTTAAAGGAACTTATTTTTTATTTGTTATTAAATAGACGTTAAGGTTACGTGGAAGTCACTGTAAAAGGGAATGTTGCGAAGTAGTGTCTCTGCACCAACTTCCACTTATCTGTAAGATGAACCGAAGCCAGTAATTATCTCTTTATATAAACTATAAATAATTCCCCCGTTCGAACTATTTCCATTTAGGCAACTGGATAGCATCACTAAGCCTCTCACATTTCAAGTCTAACGCTGGACTGGCTGGGTTCAACGTAGAACTTCGCACCGATGTGCAGCAGTTCTAGTTGAAACTCTCTTCATATATCACAACGCAGGAGAAAAAAAAGTAAAAAGAGATTCGAAACAGAGATATGCGGCAAGAAGAGAGCGATTTTGAGCCATATCACCAATTGCCTCCAGCAATAATTGGTTTTTACCGTCCCGAAGACTCCAACCAGGAAGTCTGCACCTCCCTAAGTGTCTGGCTTAAACTAACTATTGTGGATTTCGTTAAGTGATGAAGCCATGTCGGTTTTAGTTTGACCAACACTAGCTAACTCTTTTCCAACCTAAGCAGTCCTATGTCAGCTAACATTCACCTACGTAGTAGTTCTTTGCTTAATAATCATGCATGAAAAAGCAAACATGCCTACTGCTTGTGTCAGAAATTGTGTGTCAAAGGCGTTTTGTTTGTTGACTCATATTTGTCTAAATTTATCTGATTACAAAAGAGGTCATTTAAAATTTAAATTGACCTCCTTATACTACTACTTAGTGATGTTTATCTGAAATCTTTTTCTTTTATTTTTCAGTCATTGCGCATATTATTTCACAAACTTATCAACGTATACCTAAAACAACATTGATGAGTTTATTGGATATATCATCCGAGAATGATTTAAAACATTTTATTAAACAATATGGATGGTCTGAGACAACCAGTGATTCTGGTGCTACTGATGGTGTCCAACTCATTCTGGTTAACAATCATGAAGAGAATATCAAGTCGATTAAAATACGTGAACGTGTCAACTTTGATTCAATTACATCAATGTCAGGTGCATTCAGACCATCAAAAAGTGACTTTTTCATAAAGACATATAATATGAATAGTTAATTATAAATTAATTAAATAAATAAGTAAATAAAGGTTTTATTAATTTCTCTGAATAACAATAGTAATAATAATAATAATAATAGTGGAATACAATCTTTTTTTAGGCAGTCTTCTGTCTACAAAAAAGATATTAGGAGGAGGTAAATCACATAGAAAGGAAGGTAGGCAGGTAGGTAGGATGTGCGTATATCATCATCTGCATCAAATGTACAAATTCACCCCCCACGAAAAGAAAAATGTGCAAAATCATGAACAACAAAACTAGAAAAAAATCAAACCACTTTAAGACTATACAAAAATGTGAAAAGGGGATGGATTTGTACAAGGGAGAAAAATGCTTGAATAAGACAAAAAAGGGAGGGAAATAGTAACTTCATCTCATTAAGGGGTATGATTTACGACAAACAATGAGTAGTCATCATTTGTCGTCTTGTTATCATTATTAGGAAATAATGTAAGCAGTTGAGGAAGCCAGTGTAATAATGGTCTGTTTGAATGATTCTGTGCTGATGAATTATACTCAGCAGTTTCTCTTTTTGTTGATTGAGACTTTTTTGGTGTCCGTGTGCCTAATTTCTGTTTAATTGCTTGAGTTAATCGGCGAGTAGTTCTGGTAGTCCATGACCAAGATGGAATGTGATATGTTGCATTGCTTGTAGCAGCCTATAGGATACAATGAAAATAGTACAGCGATAAAAAGACACTCGATAATGCAGTACATTACAACAGAATAGATTGTAATATACTACACGGATTCCAACCAACTTGTCGGTTCTCAAAAGGTAGAGGTATGAATGTATGAGAAGTATTATTTGTCTTACTTTACCCCTTTACGTTCCGAGGGGAACATTGGGATTCAAAGTAACGCTTTGAACTGTCATTAGCAGTGGTTTTATTTCTATGAAATGGGATTGCTAGCCTCACGCCCTACATCCCCACTTCATCGGGCTTACTACCAGTTTAGGGAGGTTTAGGAGTGCGTCGGCCACCACCACAACTACAGAATTGCGTCACTGTGTTTTAAGTGAACCAGACCAGAAATAAAACTCAACTTGTCAACCATGATGTTGTGCACATATAGTGCTGCAAAACTGATCTGGTTTAGATTCGGAACTCTAAATCATGTATAATTATATCCACTGTTTTGAATTAAGCTATTACTTGAGCAGCACCTGATAAAACGACTATAATATTGAAAAAGAATTGAACTTATAAACGTTTGTGTAGGTTGTTCAACTTTTACGAATGCTGTAATACCAGCGGTATACACCAATCCAGGCAAGTGGACAGTTACCGCCTGTGACACTACTGTCTGGTGGTTGCCCTGTATTCTGAATAATAGAACATTGTTGTCGCAGTTACGTCTGACACTTATGTCTGTCTGAGTAAATATATATCTGCGCGATTATTGAGAACAATAATTTTGAGTCATACCACACATTGTCTCTCTAGCCTTCATTGGTTCTTATCATCCCGCAGACGCAAAGCAGTCTACACCTCCCTACGGGACTGGCTAGCTTAAACTAACTGTTATGAAATTCACTGACCGATGAAGCCATATCTGCGTTTGACCACCCACAATAACTTGTCTCCTACTTCAACAATCCTATGTTAGCTAACATTGACTGTCGGTCGATGAAGGCGATAGATGGCTAGGCTAGACATGCATGAGTAATACATGTCCTAACCATCTCACTCAATCCATGTAACTTCACAACCTCGTCAATGATTGATTTTCCATCCTCCTTACTTAGCACTCCACCGAAGCTTAACCTCAATATTACTCACCCTATTATTGCATCTAACACAGCAGTCAGACAGACGCAGACTCCTGCGATGAAAGACAGCTATCCAGTCAGGCTGTTACTGATATAAAGGAGGATGACGCAAACTGCTGCTGAGTAGTAACACAAGTCCTTTATTGAAGTTAAACGACAACCACAGCAAAAATAGCAACACTCCGCCATTATAACACTTTTGATGAAAATAACCATAGTAGTGTGTGGAAGGTAGGCTTGCTCCACAAGTTATATCTGTGATGAATAATTTTTCTATTCCTTTGGGTTCCCAGTGGAATATAGGACTTTAGCTTTGAAGTTTCAATGGGGTTGCTAGCCTCACGCCCGACTACTCCTCTTTGTTGAAAACGTAATCAACTAAGGGAAGCGAATGTGTGCGCCTGCCAGGACTCAATTCCCACACCACGAGCATGATGATGAGTAATAAGTGATCTATTAAAAAATAAACTCGTGATCAGACTTCACGCCATCCATCCTTCCCCCCCCCATGTCTCCGGCCTGAAGTGTTTTCGCACAATGAGCTCATCACGGTTGTACGTGCAAAATCAATTAACTAGTAGATAAAAAAAGAAAGTTTGTTGGCCTTATGCGAAGATTATGAGAGAGAGAAAAATCGACTCTATGTTACCTGAGTTTCAGAAGGCGACAACTGTGATGATTCTAGGTTGAATGTGACCTGATGTCCTAAATGTGTTGGAGTACTTTTCGAGGAATTATCATTTGAACCTTTGAAATTGTTGAGATGATGATGATGTGATGTATGACACATGAATCGATAGACTTTTGGTTTGGTTAAATGAGCTGATGATGACGATGATGCAGCTAAAACAAGTACACATGGATTGTAATAATGATGATACTTATGATTGAGGGATTGAAGAAATTGATGATTGTCGAAACATGCTTCCTGTATACGAATGATTTTACACCGACTAGCTGAAAACTGGGTACACACACACACACAGAGACGGAGTGGTTGGTTAGAGGGAATAAAAACACAAAAAGGACATTGAGAGAAAATTATGCATGACATTCAGTATGTAGAGTGTATATTTGTGTAGTTTCTAATTAACAAAGGACTCTTCAGATAAATTTATAAACTTAAATACGGGGGGTGGGAATGATATAAGAATAGAACTTGACTACTGTAGTGGTAGAGTATAATTCCATTATGTAGAAGTTTATTTTGATAAATTCTGACAACGTTGTTAAACAGTAATATCTACTGATAACCAGGTTTTGGAGAACAATTTATTGCTGCTTATCGTTATCATATCAAGGCACTACTCACACAACTTACCTACTTCGTTTATATAATTCCACTACTCTTCATCTCTTGATTTGATCGGTGCTACTATACGGATCAGAGACTTGGCCAGCGCGTCATAAAGAGCATCTCGCTCAATACTCAAGATCAAATAGCCGGCCAGAAAAGATCAGGAACAGGGATCTCTGGCAATGAGCCAACCAACACAGCAGGAACCGATTGTGAAACAAATAGGCAGGAAGAAATGGAGATGGATTGGTTGGCCATACTCTGAGGAAACCATCAAGTGAGTGACATCACTAGACAAGCCATCGCTCGAGTGGAACACGATCGGAAGGGAAGCAGCGAGTTGGTCGTCAGTGCAAGGGTGAGTGTGACTTGGAGGAGGTGATGTGAAGAGGAGATGAAAGCATGTGGGCAGACTTGGAGTGGGGTGAAAAAGTTGGCAGAAAACAGAAGGCAATGGAGGTGCGCAGCTGAAGCCCTATGTTCCTCTAGGGATTAAAGGATATAATAATAATAATAAATAATAATATTTTTCATCTCTTGATTTGATCGGTAGTAGCATTTTGCATATATCTGATATTAGTGATGATGAGTCATTTCTATTGCATGTCTTGGGTGTAGACTCGATTAACACAGAGATTCAGTAATCAATCTCTCGACCTACCCATATTACTTTTTACAATTGTAAATCTGTACCACCCTATTGTGTGACTGTGTGTTATAGTGTGTAGTGCAATTCCTGAGTTTTTTTCCCCTAAATCACTTATCTTCGTGAGGTCAATCATTGTACACATAGCTAAATTCTTAAACTTTGACAGTTTGACTACGCCCGACCCACTGGTTTCGCCTATGTATCTGACTTAACTCACAGTCACTGCAAGGTATTTTGTTTTATTATTATTAATCCCTTGGGTTCCAAGTGGAACATGGGGCTTCAATAACACATCTGCACCTCGTTCTATTTTCTGCTCTCGTCTTCAGCTGGGTCCACGATTGACCGAACCCTCTGATTCCCAGACGCTGCCTAGTACCTCAGTTAATGCAGACAGTAAACTGTCTCCACCGTACTTAAATACCTCTGAAGTCAATCCATCAGGTCCTGCTGCTTTGCCTTGTTTCAGATTAGTGACAGCCTTAGTAACCTCAGTTAAGGAAGGAGGACCTGTGTCTATATCCCATTCAGGGAGGTGTTGGATGTTTGGCAGGCGGAGAGTAGCTGTAGGCCAATTAAACTGCTCCTCATAGTGTTCTTTCCAGCGTTCCAGTCGTCTATCCCGGGCGCTAATTATGGTGCCATTTTGCTCAGAGATTTTTTCACTTATCATTTGCCTTTTACCACCTGTTCGCCTGATAAGCCTAAATAGTTGTCTAGTGTTACCAATCGCCGATGCCTTTTCCATCTCTTTCGCTTTTGTCGCCCACCACTGTTCACGGTCGTTGCGAAGACTTATTTTATTTTTGATTTTATTTTTGATTTACAGCTTGATTCCACACTGTATTTTTGGTACAAGTATGGAATTTTCAGAATGGATATCGGTAGCCCAAATTTTGCAGGCCGACCATAGATATCAGGTGTGCGCCGGCGTGGGCTCGAACCCCGGACCATGTGCATGGTCGGCGAGAGTCCTAACCACTATGCCACCGACTTTTTGTTAGTTTTCGTTTGGATAGCTTTGGCTCCTCATCATAATCGGAGCTCTCCGGAATCAGTCCTCTTGCGTCAATCAGTTTGGATGGGGCGGTAGAGATCCAATGGCTCTAACTAACTTTTGGTTTTAGCTTATTAACAGCTTTTACAGCTGTGCCTACAGTTGTGCCAGGCTACCTCAAAGGAAGTCCTGCTGTCGACCTCAGACACTCGTTTCGCCATTTCTTCCTTACATAAGGACTCAGTATCTCGATCTAGTTGGGGACGTAACTTTTTCGCTGCTGTCAATTTCTTATGTCCGTTTAGTTGTAAGCATAAACGTGCGCAAACCAGAGCGTGATCAAAGTCTACGCACGTGTTCCAGAAGGAGCGACAGTCTTCTACTGACCCTCGCCAACGATACCCTATGGCTATGTGGTCTATCTGAGTCCAGCGTTGATTTGGTGATGGAAGTCGCCAGGTTACACAATGTCTCTCTTTGTGCCTAAAGTTAGTGCTGACTAGGAATAGATGATTATCTGAGCAAAACTGTAAGACACGATCACCGTTGTCAGTTTGTCAGCAGGGAACTCCAATACGTAACACCTACATACTTCTCAGTTTGGCACAACTTCCCCAATTGGGCATTGAAGTCGCCTGCTTAAACAACTATATCTGAACGTTTTGCTTTTTGCAGCAAGTTAGACAGTTTCAGGTAGAAGTCGTCCTTTAGTTCATCTGGACTGCTGTCTGTTGGAGCGTAAGCGGAGACTACGAAAAAGCAACGACGAGTAGCACCGTCTTTCCTTCTTTTAACGGACCCATTCAGAAGGACCGCACACATACGACTATCTACTGGGATCCAGTCCAGAAGTGATTTTTCTGCCCCAACACCAGTGCTAGCCATACACCTGCGAGTCCTCGCGAGCTAACTGAGGGGTCTCCTGATACCCTTAAAGTGAATTTTACAGATTCACCTTGTTGACCGGGCGAGGTTAAATGAATGACTACACTCGGGTCTTGTATGTGTGTCTCCGAAACACAACATACATCTATGGCTCGAGATTCCAGAGTTCTACCTAGTGATGCTTGTTGTCCGATTTGGCAGAGGGTTCTGACGTTAAATGCTCCTATATGAAGTTAGTGACGTGGCTTTAAAAGGCTATCTGGGGTGTTTCTATGGCCCTCACCGTTGTTTGTGGTCACAGAGTGAAGTGAAGATAACTCACTAGTCTGCAGAATATTACTAACTGTAGTAGAGAAGCAAGATGAGGAAGGTGATGTGAGTAAAAGAGAATGATGTTCAGGAAGGCATCGTGTCCTTTTGGAAGTGTGTGGGCGATTGTTACTTCCCGGCTGCCCACACCATGGAAGTTGATCAATTCTTCGGAAGGTGAAACAGAAAGAGTGTTGCGTGACCACAGAGCCCAGGGGACAACTGCTTGACGCCAGCCGGTCACACACGGCCTGTATGAACTGGTTTCTGGGATTGGTTCCGTATGAGTAAACTTACCACCGGTTACGGACCACCGTAGGGTAAGTTGAGATGTACAATTTTTGGCGTCGACCTTTTCTAACCCCTTCTTCCAAAGTGGAGAAACAGCATGGCTGGCCGGTATGCTGGTCATCTAAGGGAAACACCTCACTGCTGTTACACCCCTGTTCCCCAGCAGTACGACTTCGCCCACACACCACCAGCATAGTATAAGAATGATTCTTACACAATACCGGTAACTCTCTTAGTCTAATCGCTATCCTAACAACCTTCCTGGCATAGTAGGACCTGCAGGAACAACATTTGGTTCTAGCTAGTGTAGCTTGTTGGGTTATTGCGATGTGCAAGCCCGGCGACCACCACGTAAAGGTAGCAGCTATAGGTAGGGTTCGAACACCAGTATTTTACAATGGTTCTGATATAATATACATATATATATATATATATATATATATATATATATATATATATATATATATATGGAGATGTCTATGTATAGAAACGCATGAAATCAACAACTTACATGATCAGGTGAATTGAAAAATTTTTTACATGATGTTGTTGTTTTAGGGAAAAATTTATACCGATTAAAAGTAGACACTGGTGAGGATAAAGACCAAGAGAAAATTTGTTTAAATGATGATTGTTGCTGTTGCTGATGATGCCGTTCTCCTTGTTCATCATCACAATGACGATGCTGATGTTGATATTTTGGATACTTTTTAAACAAAACTAAATAAACACAATCAGGTGAAGAATTTGACGACGACGACGGCGATGATGATGGCGAAACAATAAGCACAGCCCAATAATGTTTATATTTATGCTGATAAAATATTTGTGGAATTATTGATTTTTTATAATACTTACAATCATTATGATTATTATTAGTAGTAGTGATAGTCGTAGTATAAGAATATGGGAAATAAGATGAATCATTTAGATTTGATAAAGATTGTCCAATTCTTTTGTGATATTTGACGATTTGACGATTATCATCCAATGATGGTAGGGAGTCGACGTCATCGTCGTCAGAAGAAGAAGCAGAAAGAGAAGAAGAAAGGGAATCACAGATGGAAGATGTTGACGACAACATTGATAAAGTCGATTCCATTATTAAAGAAGAAGATTTTGAATATGGAGTTGGAGGTACACTTAAATTGAGCTTAGTAGAAGGAAGAGAAGGAAGAGGCGGGGAAGAAGATGAATTCATGTTCAATGGACTATGATTGTCAGGAATAATCATTCTTGTCGGCTGATCAGATTTCCGTCTTCTTCTTGTTCTTCTTCTTCTCTGTGATTTACCTATTGGTGAAACATCCAATGTTTCTTTATCACTGATTTTTATACGATGTAATTCAGGTGTTGAAGGATTTAAATTTTGATATAATATTGAAGATTTAAACAAATTATTGTGATGATAATTTGAAGTAAGGGTTGAAGATGTACTAGACGGTGCAGCATTATTGTATGATTGAGCTTTGTGAAATGAACTCAATGAAACAGGACAACACAATAAAGGACCCTATTGAAAAAAAAACAAAACAACAAAATTATAAAATGATAACACTTTGGTTAAGAAAGAATACTTACCTACCTGTCAAGAAACTATTAGTTTAGTTTAGTTTATCGACAAAACTTCTCCCTAAATCAATAACACTCTGTGGTCAATGAGATTATCAAATCATCAGGTTTTCCAATGGTTCTCTAACCGATGTCAGTTCATGATGAAATCCTGTAACTTATCAGACAAAGGTGATTTCAGTGAAGATTTCGCTACGAGCCGCTGTCAGTTAGAGATTAGATAACTGTGAGGGTCTTGAAGCAGATACTGCTCACCGATGGTATCGATTGATGGCAATTAATATTCGTGTGTGTGTGTGTGTGGGGGGGGTGGTGTTAATCTTGCTTTTCCTGGACCATAATTAATCTCCAGATGATTATGGATGAATTTTAGATCCCAAGTTAGTGTCAAGTTGATCTCTTTTCGATCATCATACGAAGATGTATTTATTTTTCGATAACCTACAATAATCAATGAACTATAGAAGTACAATGAAACTAGCTGGAATCCCTACACACTAATTAATACTTTAATTAATCTCATCATCGATGATTCAACATCAGTAATCCTAAACACTGCTGTAGTAATACTAGAAGGTCCTTCTGGTCTTAACCACTTTAGTGTCGACAGCTACGGTTAGAAGATCGACGATTAGTCAGCGATCAAATGGTAAGTATTTGAAGTGTAGCAGTAGGCTAGTTAAAATGCTGCACAACACATATTCTGCAAAATATCCTGTTTCATCACTCACTCAGAAATCATTTTCACTTAGCATAGGTTATTCACACTTCTGGTGATGCATTTTCCATCACTTTAGCAACCCATAAGAGAAAACTGTTTATATTTGTTACGAAGATTCTCGCTCAGCTAACACGTTAGATTAGATTTCGGTGAATTCGCCAAAAATTGACTATTTGCTGAATTACGTGTTTTGTTTTCACTTATCTACAGAGTGTCTGGTTGTTGGATTTAGCCGATTAGGGAGGGAGCTGTCTGGCCATAGTCCCTGAAACTCTAAATAACTTATACTAATGGGTGGAGACTGTCGGTGAAACATTGATCAAAATCATTCTCATTGCTGCAGATGCTAATCCACTCTTTGTGACCTTTCATTACTCTCTATAAGAATATTCTTTCCCATGTATATTTTCGTTTATTGTCATCTTCTTTGCAATTCTTTTTCTTTTCCAACAATATATATATATATATATATATATGCTTTTGTGAAATATGTCAACTTGAAATGATGCACATTTATGCTACATTTTGTTAAATAATTGATTATGAACTGACATCAGTTAGAATGGACCATTGCAAAACCTGCAGGAACCTCTGGAGAGATAGCTGTTCTGTCCTAGTGCTTGGAAACTCACTGAGCAGTAAGCACCCAAAGCCGGAGTTCGGACCCAGGTTTAACTGACGGGTTCCGACACAGAACTTTGCACGGATGTGCAGGAGTTCGAGTCGCCACACTCCTTCCATGTAGCGAACAAACCCAGAGAAGAAGATAAAAAGAAATGCAAATTACATATAGTACACAGAGATATGAAGCAAAAAGAATAGTAATAACGAAGAACAATATAGTTTCATTGGAAATCATAAATCACAAGGAGTGGATGCATCTCCGCTAGCCATTGAGAACGATTTTGAGCCATATTACCAATTGTCTCCAGTAGCCGTTGGTGTTCACCGTCCCGAGGACTCCAACCAGTCAGGAAGTCTACACCTCCCTACGTGTCTGGCTTAAACTAACTGTTGTAGATTTCATTGACTGGTGCCATGTTTTGGTTTGACCGCCTCTAGCTCTTTCTCAGCCTGACCCTATATCAGCTAACATTGCCCATTGACGAGGAAGGCGATGACTAGGCATGCGTAACACATGGCCTAACCATCTCAATCGATTGATTTCCCCTGTTTACCTAGCACTCAACTCCTAACCTCAATATTGCTCACTCGATTATACCACTTCACACGGGAGATAGAAAGCAGACACCCATGGTCAAAGACAGCTAGTCTTTTCATGTCTTCCACTCTGAGTGGCCAGGTCTCACAGCCATAGAGGAGGACGGAGCGGACTGATGAGCAGTACACCCGCCCTTTGGTCGATAGTCGAACATCTTGTCTACGCCAGAGTCGGCGTAAACTGGCAAATGCGAAACGAGCCCCTTGTAATCGTGCTGAGATTTCGTCAGAGATCAACCCGTTTGCACTGGCTGATGGTACTTCCCAAATAAGTGAGGCGGTCAACGTGCTCTACCACTTCACTTCTTATTTCTAATCTAGGAGTCGGTGTAGTCCAGTGCCATACCATCATCTTGTATTTGGCGGGAGCGAATCGCATGCCAAACATTCGTAGATTGCGGTTCAAGGTGTTTAGAAGACTCTGCATTTCGTCAGCGTCTTCGCCTAGAAGGACTATATCGTCTGGATATTCTAAGTCAACTAGATTATTCCTTGGAAGCAAGTCAATCCCTGAGTCGCTGAAGTCACTTAGGGTTAAGTCCATTAGTACATCTATGATGAAGTTGAATAGAAATGGGGATAATGGACATCCTTGACGGACACCACTAGTCGTCAACAGTTCAGATGACAGCTCGCCGTAAGCCCTCCCCTGGCTGTATGAGTACGAGTAGAGTGCCTTAATCAGTGCAATATATTTTCTCGGAATTCCCTTTACAGCCACGCATCTCCAGAGAACTTCCCGATCGACAGAGTCGAATGCTGCCTTTAGGTCAAGAAATATAATGACTGTTGGACGTCGGTAGGAATGCCTATGTTCTAGAATCTGTCGGAGGGTGAAGATATGATCAATACACCCTCTTCCTGGTCTAAAGCCTGCCTGGTTCTCTCGTGTTTGTGACTCCCGAGCACCACTTAGTCTACGCATGATTACTGAGCCTAGGACTTTAGATACCATATTAGTCAAGCTAATCCCTCTGTGATTATCACAGGAAGACTTGTCTCCCTTCGTGTATATCGGGATAATCAGTGACTTACACCAACTCGACGCGACTTCATCTGATTCCCAGACGCTTCCAAGTACATCAGTTAATGCAGACAGTAACCTGTCTCCACCGTACTTAAATACCTCAGGAGTTATTCCACTGAGTCCAGCAGCTTTACCTTGTTTCAGATTAGTGACAGCCTTAGTAACCTCAGTTAAGGAAGGAGGACCTGTATCTATATCCCATTCAGGGAGGTGTTGGATATTTGGCAGGCGGAGAGTGGCTGTAGGCCAATTAAACTGTTCCTCGTAGTGTTCTTTCCAGCGTTCCAGTCGTTTATCCTGGGAGCTAATTATGTTGCCAATTTGCTCAGAGATTGTTTCACTTATCATTTGCCTTTCGCTCCCCATCATAAATGGAGCTCGCCGGAATCAGTCTTCTTCCGTCAATCAGTTTAGATGAGGCAGTAGAGATCCAATGGCTTTTACTAATTTTAGCTTTCAGATTATTAACAGTTTTTACAGTTGTGTCTACAGCTAACAGGCTTCCTCAGGAGGAAGCTCGACACCTTCCGGGATGTAAATTAGAGCAAGGTTTCAAGAAGATGTAATTGAAAACAACAATATTTTTCGGTTTCTATATCTTTTTTGAACAACAAAAGAAAAGTAAAAAACAACAACAACAACAAAAGAAAACGATTCAGACACCTACTTCTCGAATCACTTTCAACCAATTATTATGAATTAATTCCGCATTGATTGAACACACTAGAGAAGATGAACAGCAAAGATGAGGCTGAGGAGAATTCATTGTCCCTGTTGATACATTTTTATGATTATTATATACAGGGGAATATTGATTTCTGTTACCATCATCATTAATCATGTTCACTTGAACAGCTGCCAAAGCTGCTAAGGCTAAATGTGATAAGGGATGATGAATAGAATTTGATAATTGATGTTTCTGTGGGTGTTGAGAGTGGTACAGAGGTGGTGGAGCTGGCGGTGGCGGCATTATTCCTGGTGAAAACTGAAATGCTGACGATAATGGTGAGGATAAGGGTGATTCAGGTACACAAAAAGATGGGCATTCGATTTTTGTAGGAGTAGTAGTAGTTGTTGTTGTTGTTACTGTGATAGTAGTAGGAACGGACAATGTCACTGGAGGGGTTTTTGATGAAAGACAACGTGAATACGTATAGAATGATGACGAAGGAGGAGAAGAGGAAGGCAGAGAAGGATGTGCTTTTTTAATTGGTGTACCATAATCTAGCATATCATTTGCAAGTGTTTTAGACAATATCGGAGACGCTAAAGGGAATAATAATAATGATGACGATGGCGTAGAAGATACAGAAGGTTTTAAAAGTGATAAATCTGATCCGCCATTCATGGTTAGAGTTATCGATGCAGGTAATGATGATTGAGGTAAATTGGATACTGATGATACCGATGATGATGATGGAGTGGATTGTATACTTCCTGGTGACAGAGGCAGTTGATGAGGACAAGATGGGGCAGGAGAAGGCGACGGTAGACAATCATGAAATAATCGTCTGGCAACAGAAGGCTTTTTGATACCTGAAAAAGTAAATTAAATAAAATAATACAATTGACAGTATGAAGACGAACAGCAAATTATAGTGGTACAGTGATATTCAAGTGTTGGTTACAGGACTTTATCATGTGTTGACATCGGTTAGAGTACCACTGCAAAAACCTGGAAGTACTGGACAGGTGTTTCGTCTTAGTCTGAGACTCTATCCAGGTAGGTTCTAGTAGGAAATTATAACCAGTGGGGTTCACCACCACGTCGGTGTGAGGACAAATACTCGCCATTGGCTGGTGACACTCACGCCATATTGTGAATTGGCAGAAGTTAAAATTTATGAGTTGGCCATAGTGTCGAGTCTCCATGGCTTATTGGCCTGTGGGCTCAAACCCTGCGCTTGTCGGTACGTGTAGACTAAGAGACCTTAGCACTAGAATGAAACAGCTGTCCAGTACTTCCCCGGTAATTTTCCAATAGTTCTCTAACCGATGTCAACTCATGATGGGATCTTGTATAGTGATAGCTGAAAAAAAGGGAACAAATGTGTACGAAATACTTAGCTACGTGCAATTGTGCGTCAAAGACAATCATAAAGGCTACTTACAACATGGAGATAAGACAAGAACAACACCTCAGGATGGTCGGGGGGTGTTTTGCGCTGCGGGTTGGCCACCCCTCCGTACACCTCTGAATGCTTCATGACCGTGCGTCTTACATAGCCTCTCCTGAGGAAGTCCTCACTGCCTTCACGTGGCGGAGGTGTTTTTCACCGAAGTGAGAGGGCAAAAGCGGATGCCCGGCGCTCTTCACCGGGTTGACTGTCCATCGGATGACAGTCTAGGGAGATGGCTAAACCCTGATTCCAAACCTCCAACGACTGGCGTATGAAGCTCACCGGAGTTCACCGGCAGACGTATGGACAAAGGCTTATTGGATGCCCTGGATGTCTGGCCCATTCAAAAAGACGTATGAACCGGTCACCGGCTGCCAATGGCTAGTGGACTCCTTACTTCACTCCTACTGCCTTGTAGGTCACACTTGGTTGTGTAAAGGCTAGAGCTGCACTCTCAAACAAAAGGCCGAGCGATCCTGGGGACATCACTCGTACCCAATTCCCATGAAAATGAAAGTGAGCATATCATCTATCATCTTTGGTGCATGATACACACATATTATACACACGTACATACACACATAAATATATACATGTTATTCATGTGAAAGCAAATTAGTGAATCAGTTTATTACAACATAAAATTAAAGCGAAAATATCATAGTGCGTTGAAATCAAGAAAGGCAAGACCATCGATCCGACTTGTTTAAACTAACTAAATTAGTCGGCACAGATCTTCAGATAGGAACCAGGAGACACTTGTCATGTGTGAAAATCAAGGTCTTGGAAGTTCAAACGCAAATAAGTCCCAAGGACTAGCACTCCTTGCAGTCCAGCACTCATTGTCTTAACGTTTTTCAACATTTCTCGAACTGATATCGATCCACGGTCAAACTTGAAACATGTAGCTGTCTGTTTGGATTCAGCATAGAACTTCGCACCGAAGTGTACCAGTTCGAGTTGCCACGTTCCAAATAGCACACAAAGGTAGACAAGAAGATGAGTGAAGAGAATCAATACAGTCTGACAAGTATAAGAGCGAAACAGAATGGGTAATGGTAGAAAGGAATATGAAAGATTACAGAGACTGAATACATCTGCGCTGGCCATTGACAACGATTTCGAGCCATGTCATCTATTGTCTCCAGCCATTGATTCCTAGAGTCAGTCCCGAGGGCTCCAACCCGGAAGTCTGCATCTCCCTCCCTACCTGACTCAGTTTAACTGTCAAGGATTTCATGGATTGATGAGGCCATGTTTTTGTTTGGCCACCACCACACTTACTTTTTCCAACCTGTACCTTTATCAATCAGCTAGTAAGGCCTGTCGGCGGGGAGGCGATGGTTAGGCATGCGCAACACGTCACCTAGCCATCTCTATGCCATCTATGTCACTTTATAGCCTCGTCGATTGATTGATTTTCCCTGTTTGCCCAACACTCTACGCCTAACGTCAACATTACTTACCTTGTTAAACCACCTCACGTGAGAAAGAGATCGTAGACATCTATGATCAAAAACAGTCAACCTTTTCATGTCTTCAAGTCGTATTGGTCATGTTTCAGAGCCATAGAGAAGGACGGAGCGAACTGCTGAGCAGTACACATGTCCCTTGGTTGATAGCCAGCCGGATGTCACGACTACGCCAGAGATGGTGTAAATCAGCAAAAGCAGCTCGAGCTTTCTGGATCCGTGGTGAGATTTCGTCGCCAATCAGTCCGTTGGTGCTAATACAACTTCCCAAATAGGTGAAGTGGTCAACATGTTCTATCACTTCACTCCCTATCACTAAGCTAGGAGTTGACGTGGTCCAGTCCTGTAGCAGCATCTTACATTTTGTAGGGGCGAATCGCATGCCAAACATACGAAGATTGCTGCTCAAGGTGTTCAGAAGACTCTGCATTTTGTCATCATCCTCCCCTAACAGGACTATGTCATCTGCATATTCTAAGTCCATTAGGTTATTCCCTGGTAACAAGTCGATTCCTAGGTCGTTACGTTCAGTTAAGGATACTTCCATTAGCATATCTATGATGAAGTTAAACAGAAATGGGGAAAGTGGACGTCCTTGTCGGAAACCACTGGTTGTTTTCAATTCAGATGACAATTCCCCACAAGCCCTTACACGGCTATATAAGTTTGAATAGAGTGCCTTGATTAGTGCAATGAACTTTTTCGGCACGCCCTTCAAAGTCAGACATTGCCATAGTACCTTTCGATCCACGGAGTCGAAGGCCGCCTTCAAGTCAAGAAATATGGCAATTGTTGGGCACCGAAAAGTGTGTCTATGTTCTAGGATCTGTCGAAGAGTGAAGATATGATCGATGTACCCTCTACCTGGTCTAAAGCCTGCTTGATTTCCCCTCGTTTGTTCCTCCAGAGTTCCGCTTAGTCTGTGCATGATTACTGAGCCTAGGATTTTAGAAACTATTTTCGTTAGGTATTGTGTGCACACAATACCTACAATACATTTATATAAGCATAATAATGTACGTATGTGTGTGTGCATATGTGCATAATACAAAAAAGAAAAGCATAGTGCACAAAAGGAATAGCACAAGAATAGCAACTAAGATTATTATTATTATTACTGTGTGCTGACCATTAGTGGTATTATCGAAACAATACCAGTGCGCAAAACAACCACAACAGTAAAACACAGAGGTTATTGTTGACGTTTGTTTACTCACACTCATGGTTGCCTGACGCAGAGCATATCCCGTGTGTGTGTGTGTATGCAAATACACACATTTGTACAGAGTGGGAGGAGTAGTGTGTGTTGTCTGTCTAAAAAATAACCTTAAATAATACATACATACATACAAATATAGCTGAATAAATTATTCAATAAGGAGTGCGTGTGTGTGTGTAAGCAGACAAACAATGTCTGTAGAGATAGATTATCTGTGTCCCCCCCTCCACAGTGATCCCGCCTACTTACACACACACACACATACACATGAACATGGAAATTAATCCTAAAGTCTTGTAGTCATTTTTGGATTATTATTATTATTATTATTAGTGGTCGTAGTTGTAGTAGCCACCATGGTGGTAGAATGTTTTGTAAACTGATTTATATGTCTACTATTAGGTTTACGTGGTGGCACCAGAGGTGGAGTAGGTTTAGCAATTATTTGACAAGAAGATTTAAGCTTACTACTGATAAAAGGAGTTATAGTAGTAGTAGTTGACGTTGTTGGTGTTGTTGTTATTGTATTGCTGACAGAATTTGATACTTTGGTAGTATTTGCGGATAACGATGATGATGACGACACTATACAATGTGGATGATTTTTAATGAAATGATTTGGTGTTACAGGTATCGATTTTTTATTGAATACATCATCATCATCAGCAGCAGCAGCACCAACATCATCATCAACAACAACAACAGGAGCAGGAGGATTTTGATGAGAAATAGATGAATCATGGAATCCAGAGGTGATTGATTTCAATGGTGACGTTGTTGTTGGAGATGAAGATTTACACTGAATATTGACTAGATTTATTGGAATGGATTGATTTCTATGAAAATTTTTATAATTTATCATTTTTGATGATTGTTTATTATCAACGGATGATTGACGTGGGACTAAAGAGGAAGTAGATGATGCAGCAGAAGAGGAAGTTTGACGACCAACAGTTAAATCATCCAATTGTGAAGTTGATGTTAATGAAGCAGAATTCAATTGTTGTTGTTGTTGTTCTACAGTGAAATTATCATCACCACCAACACCAGGACAAGCGATTAAATGTTGTTGTCTGGGTTCTCTTCGAACTCCACCTCCTCCTCCTCTAATATTATTACCAATAACACGTTTATCAATTAATCGTGGTGAACATCTATTGGTAATCGGACGAGGAGAAGTGGAATTAGACGAGGCATGTTTTGTTGACGATTCACTAAAGTAAAATATAAACAGAAAGTATTGAAAGTACAAATTGACACAACAATAGTTTATATATATATATAAATTGAAGAACTTTAAAATACGTGACGTCGTTCATTTATCTCACCAGACAGTGTCGTTTCATCCACTACAAGCCACATTACAGATGAGGATGTCGAAACCAGTCAGGAGTGGAAAGAAAATACAGACATCTTTATCACTTTGGAAATCTTCTCTACGCCGCTGAAAGCATAAACAAGAAATCCGGACTTTCAATATCACTGTTAAGTTAGTCAGTCAGTTAGTTCTTCTATAACGATCAGAAACTTGGTCAGTGCATCCCAAAAAGCATTTTACACGGGCCATTGAAGAATTTTATCAACACCTGATACCTTCACTCGGTCTATATTGATTATCAGATAACTGGCCACCCAGAAAGAATTAGTATCAAGAAACTATGAGAGCTAACTACTAGCCAAGAACCTAATGATCAAAAAATATGTAGAAGAAAATGGACACCCCTCCCCTGAAGAGACCATCAAGTGACGCTGCACGCCAGGCCCTGTAGTGGGAAACGACGAGTTGGGTGTCGGTGTGGGAATGACATGGAGGAGATCGATTATGCGGCCAGCTAAAGAGGGCCTCAGAGAATAGGATAAGGTGGAGACACATTACTGAAACCCTATGTTCATGGCAGAACTCACGGAAACATTAACAATAAATAATAATAATATACATAACACACTGATAAACTCATAAGTAATTGAGAACACATGAGTTAGCAAAGGAGATTCTCCTTAAGGATTGCTAAGGCTTCGGCTGCATGAAGAAGGTGTAGACGAAATCTTTTTAAACAACTTGGTTGTTATTTATGTATGACTCTCAAAGAAGTCTCTCTGCTAATGCTGCACACGACAAGAAGTAATTAAATGCCCTAGAATTGAGCTGTTGACCATTCTTCATTCTCCTTCTGAAGACAGTTATGCTGATTATTGTTCATGGGTATATCTAGACAGTGTCTCAGATTGTACTGCGGCCTGATTAGCAGCCACTCGATTCTCACAGCTTCCCTGTGTTAGAGACCAGTCTTATCAAAAATTCAGATTTTTATTTCACCTTTAATCAATAACTATGACAGTTTGCTAAACCAAGTCTCCCTTCCCCTCTGTCTCACAGACAACCCGATCAACAAGTGTGCTGTCTTTTTACAACGTTCCAATATTGGTGAGAGTGTGGCAATCACAATGAAACCACGAACTCACGTTCAATCCTATTTAACAACTATCACACAATTGGATGTACATGAATCCTCCAGGGAGTGATACTGAATTCTCACTCAAAGGTCAATACAGCTAGCTAGCTAGTTAGAGTCAATATACTAATACAAAAATAGCATGATCGTACAGGTTCTATTCCAGGCCGACACATACTTCTTAACCTCGTCTAGTTAAGTGTAATTGTGGAAATTGGGGGCGCTGTAGTAGAATGTAATTCCATATTAGATAAGTTTATTTTAAATATCACACAGCGATGACGCAGTATTAACAACTAGATGACAAGGGGTTTCGAGCATAAATTATTGCCACTCATAATCATATCTCTTTGTCTGTCTGTCTGGATTCAACATAGAACTTCCAGTTCGAGTTGCCACGTTCTATCCAAATAGCACACAAAGGTAGACAAGAAGATGAGTGGGGAGAATTAATAGAGTTTCACAAGTATAAGAGCGAAACAGAATGGGTAATGGTAGAAAGAAATATGAAAGATTACAGAGACTGAATACATGTGCGCTGGCCATTGACAACGATTTTGAGCCATGTCATCTATTGTCTCCAGCCATTGATTCTTAGAGTCAGTCCCGAGGGCCCCAACCCGGAAGTCTGCATCTCCCTCCCTACCTGACTCAGTTTAACTCTCAAGAATTTCATGGATTGATGAGGCCATGTTTTTGTTTGGCCACCACCACCACTTACTCTTTTCCAACCTGCACCTTTATCAATCAGCTAGTAATTCCCGTCGGGGCGAGGGAGGCGATGGTTAGGCATGCGCAACACGTCACCTAGCCATCTCTATGCCATCTATGTCACTTTATAGCCTCGTCGATTGATTGATTTTCCCTCTTTGACCAACACTCTACGCCTAACGTCAACATTACTTACCTTATTAAACCACCTAACGTGAGACAGAGATCGTAGACATCTATGATCAAAAACAGTCAACCTTTTCATGTCTTCAAGTCGTATTGGTCATGTTTCAGAGCCATAGAGAAGGAAGGAGCGAACTGATGAGCAGTACACACGTCCCTTGGTTGATAGCCAGCCGGATGTCACGCCTATGCCAAAGATGGTGTGGGCTGGCGAAAGCAGCTTGAGCTTTTTGGATCCGTGGTGAGATTTCGTCGCCAATTAGTCCGTTGGTGCTGATACAACTTCCCAAATAGGTGAAGTGGTCAACATGTTCATAATCATATCAATTATAGTCACATGGTTTCACACAATTTGTCTTATACATATTTTCTCTCTATTCTGCCTCTCCAACTTCCTTTTGATGTTTGTTACCACTTTGCATATCTCCAGTAAGGCGTTGCATCAATTCGATTCCATGTGTGAGGTATTGACTCGACCATAAACAGAGATTCAGTGATTAGCCTATCTCTCTCTCTCTACACCTGACTATATTATTTTTAATACTCTCACCCTATCCAACCCTATGGTGTGTGATCACATGCAAGTGAATGCAATGCAGTGCAATGGCTCAGTTTTTTCTAGCTTATTTAACTTACCAGGGTCAATTAATCTAGGTCCAGGTAAATTTTTATGTTCCGATAACCTAGTTGACCCTGATCTATTAGTTTGACTGACCTGTTGCTATTGATCTCACCAACAGTTAGCATTATATTTGGTATTTGGTAAATTATATTATTCCTTTTAATTAGATCTATCAGGTTCTCAAGGTGATCAAGTTTATCTCTGAAAAAGTTGGTTGATTTGTTTACTAATTCCAGTCTCACTGAGAATCCCACGTACGATTACTGATATTGCTTCTTCAAAACAGCAGTACTACACACAGGCTTTGAATTCTATATCATTTATGTTGTTTCATCATTTTCACTACTAATCTTATTTTTCCTATGGGTCTACATACATTTTTGATTCAATTCTGGTGGGTAGTTATTCACTAGTAATAATTCCTTTACTGGTTTGATTTCATTATTTAAATCTTCCGGATTATTAGTTATGCCTGTTGACTCGATTATGTAAACATTTAACTAAATCTATCTTTCAATAACTGGTCTGTAAGGATCAGATGTTTTTACGAATTGATACCGGATTGATATCAGTTAGAGAACCATTGAAAACTGACACCATAGTGTACACTGGACAGCTATTTCATCCTAGTTCGAGAATCACTGGCAGTACGCACCCACTGCCAGGGTTTGAAACCAGGACCTTCCAGTTACAAGGCAAGCTAGTTCGTATACCATTCATCAGCCACTGGGACCTAATTCAATGGCCAACCCATGAATTCTAACTTCTACCAATTCGTGATTTAGCGAGACCGCCAATCATGTCATCGGTGAGACACCAATGTGTTTCCTTGTAACTGGAAGATCCTGGGTTCGAACTCCAGTGGGTACGTACTGCCGATGATTCCCGAACTAGGATGAAACAGTTGTCCAATACTCCCTGGTTTTCTCTAACTCATATCAATCCGTGATCAACTCGTAAACCTATCTTTACTGATTCTAGATGGGATGGATTAAAGTCTAAGTATTTATTAGAATGTGTGCGTCGGTCTCCTATAAATGATAGTGTGGTTAGAGCTAGCTGTTAGTCAAAATTGGTGGACAGTAATTTACGCCAATGTTTATGTCCCCAATATTGAGAATATATGAGAAAAATGAGAACAAAGGCTTAGCGTAGGCGGATACATTTAACATATAGCTGATCTGACATTCAAGAAACAGTCACCAAGAGATGCAAGGTTAACTTTCTGTGAGAAACAACCAATCAGAGGACTGTGTCTTTCTGCTAACAATAATCTATAATATGTACATGAAAATCTATAAATATGTGTTGATTTCTTTAATATAGACGATCTGTTGTCTGGCCCTTGTCTTCTGTTGTTGCACTAGTATCTAAGCCAACATCTTGTTTCGCTTTTATTTTACAGTGTGTAGTATGGCCAACTCACCGAGTCACCTCGCCTAGTTTACTAGCAGCCAGGTAGTAAAGCAAAGTTGGTTGGGTGAAAGCTGCTAGCAACCCTACCCTGTAAAAACAACAGAGTCACCACTTCAAAGCTTGTTAACTCTTATCTTCCACTCAAAAACAGCAACAAACAAGGAAGAAAAGTCTAAAGGAAAACTGAATGTCTTTGATTGGACACTTAGTTAGTGCTGATTGAATTCTATCGTCAGTCAAGTTCACAATATGGGCACCATGATGCTAGATGGCTCATCACCAATGTGCACTTTGAATTGTTGACATTAGATGGTTGGAGGCGAATCATCAAGAAGCCCTTTTTGACCTAAGTTTTGTGCTGGTTGGCACTCACCAGTCGTCAGTCAGCAAACCGTCTATCTGCAATCTTGAAGAAACACTCATATCCCCCTTCTGAGATTTGAACTCGCGTCACCCAGTGAATGCTGCAATCAGAGACTTTATCATTGAGGAGATATTCAGACTCGTGATTAACCTCTTGTGTAAGACTGACTATATTGTATGCTTTGATACTTTATAGATATATACGCCTTGTTGACGACTGCCAGCTAGCATCAAACCTAGGTGTCAAAAGCAAGGCTTCCTGCTGATTGCCTCCACAACCATCTAATATAAACTGAATATCTTTTTAAACACACGGGATGTGAATAGAGTAAACAAAGAAACTTACAGATTATTAGGATACAACTTCATATGTCTACTTTGAATAGGTGAACGAGATAGAAGTTGACTACGAGAAGTGTCTAACGATCGAACAGACAGAGAAGATTGTTGTGTACTCTCAGACTGAAATGAAAAAAAAAACAACAACAACAAAATGTACATATGAGAAAAATCGTACACAGCAGGCGTAAACACGCAAAAAGTACAGACTGAATTAGCCTGTCTGTCTGTCTTCTTTCGACATAGAACTTTACACATACGTGCAACATACACGTACAACATACGTGCCTCCAAAGCCTCAGGATGGTCGGGGGTGGGTGTCTTGCGCTGCGGGTTGGCCACCCCTCCGCACACCTCTTGAAATGCTCCCATATGACCGTGCGTCTTACATAGCCTCTCCTGAGGAAGTCCTACTCACTGCCTTCACGTGGCGGAGGTGTTTCTCACTAAAGCGAGAGGGCAAAAGCGGATGCCCGGCGCTCTTCACCGGGTTGACTGTCCATTGGATGACAGTCTAGGGGAGATGGCTAAACCCTGATTCCAAACCTTCAACGACTGGCGTATGAAGCTCACCGGAGCTCACCGGCAGACGTATGGACAAAGGGCTTGTTGGATGTCCTGGATGTCTGGCCCCATTCAAAAAAGCGTATTAACCGAACTCCGGTCACCGGCTGCCAATGGATAGTGGGCTCCCTACTCCACTCCTACTGCCTTGTAGGTCACACTTGGCTGTGTAAAGGCTAGAGTTGCACTCTCAAACAAAAGGCCGAGCGATCCTGGGGACATCACTCGTACCAAATTCCCAAGAAACTTCATGAACTCGTTCATGAAGCCGGCTCATCCTCCCGTAGGAGATAGCCGAAGTAAAGTAAAGCAACAATTCACGTCACCACACTCCCTCCATGTAGCACACAAAGCAACAGAAGAAAGTACAGGAAATGCATAGTAGAGACATTAAACAGACGTGTGAGACAAAGGAAGAGTAGTAATGAAGAACAAAACAGTTTCATTGGAAATCATAAGTCACAAGGAGTGGATGCATCGGCGCCAACTATTGAGAACGATGAGTTTGAGCCATGTCACCAATTGTTTCCAACCATTGGTTTTTACCCTCCCAAGGACCCCAATCAGTCAGGAAGTGTACACCTTCCTACGTGGCTGGCTTAGACTAACTGTTGTAGATTTCATTGACTGGTGAATCCATGTTTTGGTTTGACCGCCGCTAGCTCTTTTTCAGCCTGACCCTATGTCAGCTAACATCGCCTGTAGGTCGAAGAAGGCGATGACTAGGCATACGTAACACATGTCCTAACCATCTCAGTCTTTGTAGCTTCACGTAGATAATTGAGTGAATTATGTAGAGTATATCGGCGGTTCATCCGTAGAATACTCGTCAACCACACATGCGCATGTGATCTAAGACTCGATCCCCAACCAGTACATTAAGCCTGATAAAGAGAGGAAGGTCAGGCGTAAGGCTAGAAAACTCCCCTTCCAACCTGTAAAAACAAATAACATCACTGCCAATAAAAAAATTAAACAAATTTGACCATCAAAATGATATCAGTTAGAGAACTAGTGAGAATCAACAGGGAGTTCTGGACAATGCTTGACTCTTAAGTTTGAGACTCTCATGAGCACGCCTAAATGATGAACTCTCCTAGGATCGAACGTAAAACTTTCAAGTTGCGAGAGGTTACGTTGTTGACAATTAAGCCAATAGGACTGACTGAATTCAACAACTCATGAATTTTATACTGCTGTCAATTTGCTGATACACAATTATGATGGTTGAATGTCAAATTAATGCAAAGCTTTACACAGAGATGCATGAGTACACAAAACAGCTGAAAGTCAATGGGAATAGAGAGAGAGAGAGAGAGGAAAATTTCATGAAGGATACTAAAAGTGCTTCGAAAAAACACTGAAGATAAACAACGAATGACTACTTGTCATGAGATATTACGAATTATTTTAACTCATTGCACCATCAACTCCACGATTACTGATTCCCTGAATACAGTCATAGCAAAATGTAAGCAGAAAATTGAGATCTACTATCATGGTGTCGATCAATAAACATCAGTGATTTCATGGATTCCTATCACCATATGGTTTGATCAAAACCAAGGAAAGAAATAATCGATCGGCTAGCTATTCAGGGTTACAAAATCCTTCAAGATATTATGATACAACCAAACCAAGATAAAAATCCATAAAATCAATGACGATTATTGATCGAGGCCATGTAAGAAGGCCTGGTTCGTCTGTTTACCTTTTGTAATCATCTGACACACGATGAGTTTGAAAAAGACCCAGTGGTGGGGTCAAACCAAAATATGGCTTCATCAATCAAAGTAATCTATAACAGTAAGTTTGAGCCAGTCAGCCACGTAGACAGGTGTACACTGCAAGTTTGGCTGGCTGGAGTTGTTGGGATGGGTTTTTTTTTATTCCTTTACGTTCCCAGTGAAGTTTCAGTAGCAATGTGTCTATTTTTACCGGATGGGGTTACTAGACTCATGCTCAACCTTCCCTCTATACCATTCTTCTAACCGGTTTAGTGAGGTAGAAGAGTGCGCCAGCCAAGGATCGAACCCCGGACCACATGCATGATTTGGTTAGCAATCTGCCGCTAAGCTACTGGACTCCCTAACCAGTAACTGAATGGCCAACAGGCCGACGGTTTCAAGTCAGCTTACTGTTGAAAAGCCCAAAATAAGGACGAAATTACAACTATCCGGTACTGTCTGGTTTTCAAAGGTTTTCTGAATGAAGTCAGAGTGATTAAAACTTGACATATATTTATGAATAAAGGCAATTTATTACAATTTCTCTTTGTAGGCGAAATTTTACACTGTATAATCTGACAGTTATATCACAGCAATAAAAAAGTATAAAAGAAACAGTTTATTCCTTCTATGAACTTCGGCGTTATGTCGTTTGTTTTGCTTTTATGAAGATAATTTATGCGATAATGTGGTGAGAGCAGACTGCTAGCCAATTGGTAGACATTAATTTACGTCAATGTCTATGTCGCTAATACTGACTGTGAGAACAAGACTGATTCAACAACCAATCACAGCAGACTTAACGTGGGCAAATACGATTTGCAGATATATGGCCTAACTTTCCGAGAAACCAGTCACTAGCATCACGGAATAACTTTGAGCAAGAAACAACCAATGAGAAGACTGTGTTTGTCTGCTTGAATAAGCTATAATAATGTACATGAAATATATATAAATACGTGTTGATTTCCCTAATAAACGATCCGTTGCCTGGCTCTTGTCTTTTGCTGTTACAATACAAGACACCATTCGAGCTTTTGACAGTGATATAATAGAGAAGATTTGTAGCTCAGGTGGATGATTTTGATGTGGTTTTGTTCTCTGAGCTGGATGGTTAGTTTGCGAACAGTGAGTTATATAGATATTCATATCCTGCTTCAAATATTATCGACTAAAGCTTTTGTTGTTTTTGGACTCATTCACCTGGGAAGAAATAGGTCTTTCTCGCATCTCACATTATCACCGCTGATTATTCTACTTCTCCGTAGCCAAAAAGCTGAAGTAGGTGGATAGTGAGGGTGCGTGGCGGGACTCAAACCTTGAACCTACTGACTTGGCGTAAGTGATTAAGCCAATGACAGCTGCATCTCAAGGCTCTCTTCCCCTGTTTCTCTCATACACAATAAGTGTAGTTCGTATTTTAATGCCAGATAGATCTGTTATTGGCGTAATTGAATCCACTCAAGTAAACATAATAACATCCAGATAATATTAGTAAGGAGAGCTGTTTCGTCCTGGTCTCGTACTCTTCATCCGCATGCACCCACCAGGAAGAGACCCAAGTTTCGTGATTGTCAGTAAGGCGTATCTTCAATCTTGAAAGAACTCATATCCCTTCTGAGATCCGAACTTGTGTCACCCAGTACTTCGTGAGAGTCCCGAGCAGTTGGATGAAACAGATGTGTCCAGTACTCTCCTAGGTGATTTTCCAATGGTTCTCTAACCGATATCAAGCTCATGATGAAATCCTGTAGCCAGTCAAATCCCTGAAAACCAACAATTGAATATTTTAATCGCAGATAATACATTTAGAAGCTCAGAAGAATCAGACTACACAGAGTATACGATCTACTCGAAAAAGTGACCACTGGAAAACCACAGGAGATGTATACTGGACAGTTAAGTATTTCTTCCTAATGCTCGGGACTTCTCATCGGTACGCACCATAGACAGGGTTCAAAACGACGGGAGCTACCGACGAGCTCGTAGACCGTTAGGCCACGGGGACCCCACCCCAATCGATAGCCAGCCCAAGAATTCGTTGTAATGTAACTGTAATGTAAAAAAACTGATTGGTGAAGAAACACTCTGATGACATTAAATTTTATTTATTTATTTTTAACTTTTAAGAAATAGAATGACTTACTTCAAGCAGATCTGGTTTCGTAGTATCATGAACAAATTCTTCGTTTGTTGGTGTTAAATAATTATCACAGGATAACACTCCAACCCCTTGATAAAATAAATATTGTAGAGAGAGAGAAGAGAGAAATTTATCAAGTTATTTTGGTAAGTAATAATGATACTTTGGGCTTACATAATAAATAATAGCAGTATAAAGCGGTTGGATTCGTCGGTGTACTTATTGCTTTCCATGAACTATTCTGCTGATGTCTAAACTTCCTTTTGTGAAATGATAACACACACCTGCAGCAAGAAGAATATTCACCTCAACCAGTGAGGTAGGAGTTTTGGGTCATCGTAACATGTAAGTTCAACACCAACGATGTGTTGTCACCTAGTGATATTTAAGAGTTATATTACTATCATTCTTCCTTTCAAGTGTGTTACCTGTGAGGTGGAAAATAAGTCTTCATAAAAGGCTGATTTATGTGTTTGTTCCATCTCTCTATGATTGAAGGCTTAATAAAGCCATTGAAACTAGGGGTACTGATGATGATTTCCAAACTAGTGGGATGAAACAGCAGCTGTCCAGTATTCCTTGTGGCTAGTTTTCAGCGGTTCTCTAACTGACATCAATCCGTGATCAACTCGTAAAAATGAAACTAGGAAAATCAGAAATTTTCATACCCTTAATCTGTTTGTCTTAACTTATTCATAGTAATGAAAAGATTTTTCAAGTATTGGTTTTTTGTAGGGATTTTGTTTGATTGCATGGAGGATTTAATCATGAGCTGACATCAGTTAGAGAACCACTGGAAAACCTGGGAGTACTGGACAGCCGTTTCGTCCTAGTTTGGGACTCCTCAGCAGTACGCACCCACCGGGATTCGAACCCAGGACCTTCTGGTTACAAGGCGAGCTCGTATACCATTGAGCCACTGGGACCCGATCCAATGGTCCTTGAATTCTAACTTCTGCCAGTTCACGACATAGCGCGACCACTTCGCAATGTCTTCTTCGATGAGTTACTGCCTCATCTTCAACCTGCTGTACCCTACTGGTCACGGCTTCCCAATAGAACCCCAGGTTAACTGCCTGAATAGGGCCAGTCACTAGTGAGCATCAGATGAATTTTCAAGTATTGGTTTTTTGTAGGGATTTTGTTTGATTGCATGGAGGATTTAATCATGAGCTGACATCAAAGATGAGGCAGTAACTCATCGAAGAAGACATTGCGAAGTGGTCGCGCTATGTCGTGAAGTGGCAGAAGTTAGAATTCAAGGACCATTGGATCGGGTCCCAGTGGCTCAATGGTCTACGAGCTCGCCTTGTAACCAGAAGGTCCTGGTTCGGATCCCGGTGGGTGCGTACTGCTGAGGATCCCAAACTAGGACGAAACGGCTGTCCAGTACTCCCAGGTTTTCCAGTGGTTCTCTAACCGAAAAGATTTTTCTTTAGAGAATCATAAAAACGATCTTCATAATTTTCTGTACTTATGTTTATTTTGAAAATAGCTAATTACTTAATACTCCCTACTTATAATTATTTCACTTTAGCATATCACTATTACTATTGTTCACTTGGATTCTCTGTGGAACACATATGGCGGCTTCCACAGTACATCTCTACTTCGTCTTATTCTTTGAAGTTCTCTAGAAGTGACTGGGTCCACCATGTGGTTTCCGATAATTTTCCCAACTCCTATTCACCACACGATCTCCTCCATGTCATCCTCGCACCGACACCCTCATCTAACTCGTTGTTTCCCATTCGGTTGCACACTTCAACGATGGGTTGCATTGAACATGATGTCACCTGAAAGTCTCCCCCACAGTGTGGCATGCGTTCAACTCACTTCCACTTTTTCCTATATCTGTATTGAGCAATAGATTCTTTGTTTCTTGTTGCTAAATATTTCTCGCCAGCTGTTTCATCTTCAATATGGAGCCAGAGAGAAGGTAGTAGCCGTTGATAAGAGTCGGCAGTTAGCTGTTTGGTAACGCGCCAAGTTACCATAGCTACACTATATTTAGATAAACACTTTGCAGTCTTTTGTACCAAAAGTACTGTTTGGAATAATGCTGTTATTATTACGACTATTATTAGTAATATTAGAGTTTTGCATCAATTCTACAAGTCAATTATGTATCGTAAATGTAATGAGACCGAGCACTTCGGTCCAATCAATCGACAGGAAAATCTAAAATTCAATTCAATAATTAATATGACCCGTCGCACAAGAGGTGGCTCTCGTGGCTCTAGTGGATAACGCTTTGGCGTTTGAAACTATGGGCACTGGGTTCGAGCCTCGGTGGGAACATCATCACTCACTGAGAAATGCAGGTACATCCAGCTGACGAGTCCCAAATAGGACGAAATGCGCATCCTGGATTCCACTGCTAGCCACCATCCACTAATTGTAAGTAGAAAGGTATTCATTACACTGAAACCATAAGCGTACAGATGTGTAGTAAATAACACATCACGTGTTTGCCTTTTTCTAAACACTTTTATCCAACAGGGAAGAAACATTCTATGCTGACTGAAAGGTGTCAACATCTGGAATCCCTAAATTTGAAAAATTGACCATATATTTTCATAGAGTTACAGGATTGCATTATAAGCTGACATCAGCTAGAGAACCAATAGAGAACCCCTGGAAAACGAATTGTTTCGTCCTAGTGCTCGGGTCTCTTCACGAGTAAACACGTACCCCAAAAGGCTCGAACCGAGGACCATCAGGATACAAAGCGAGTTTGGAGACCATTCACAGTCACTAAGAACAGATTGAATAGCAGGTGAATTCAACTTATTTCAATTCACGACATATTGAACAACCACTGGTGAATGTCATAGATGAGTAACCACCGTTTATGAACAAATTATTTTCACATAGCTGTCTTCATTTTACAGTTAACGCCAATGATCTCGTCTAGAGATGCATGTCCATAAGCTTGACGTGTAGATCTTTTAGCTGAAAACCATTGCACCCACCAAAATGAAGAATTCATCAAATAAATAAATAAATAAAGCATAACCTATCCATATCAAAGACAAAAAAGGTTTAATTTCCGTTAAGACTTAGTTATCATATTACTACAACGAGAAAAATATGAAGATAGAAGACATACAATCATGTATAGCGAAGTATGACTCTTGGTCCTTAATGTACACAAATATCTGGGATTGCACGCAGTCGAATAGTAGAAGGTTAAGTAAGTTTTTCTTTGCTAACACGTTTCAGGGTATCGATAATCTTATGATAAACAGCGCGAATCACAATTATAAAGTTCGTAACTCAAAAGTCAAATAACTATTTATTATTATTATTATTATTATTATTATTATTATTATTATATTCCTTCGTGTTCTAGTGGAACATAGTGATTTGAGCTTTAGCTTCGAAGTTACAGTAGTAGGGGTGTTTAATTTTCACGGGGTGGAGTTGTTAACTTTCCCCATTTGTTGGGCTTAAAACCAACCAAAACGATAGGTAAAGATATGCGCCAGTCGGGAAACGAACACTGAACCACGTGTGTGAGTGTGTGTGTGGTTGGTGAACATTCTTCTACCTCTAAACCACTGCGCCGGTGCATTAATTAAGAAGACTGAGTACTGTACACCAACTTGATGACTTGACAGGCCTCGACCTTGATGTGGTAGTCAAGCTTGCATATCGCGATGACCCAACAAGCTGCACTGGCTGGAACCAAATGTTGTTCTGCAGGTCCTACCATGCCAGGAAGGTTGTTAGGATAGCGATTTGACTAAAAGCAGTTACCGGCTCAGTATAAGCATCTTTCTTGCACTATTCTGGGGTCTGAGGGCAAGGTCGTATTGCTGGGGAACAGGGGTGTAACAGTAGTGAGGTATTTCCCTCAAATGACCAGCATGCCAGCCAGCTATGCTGTCTCTTCACTCCCGAGAGAAGGGGTTAGAAAAGGTCGACCCCAAAAATTGTAGATCCCGACTTACCCTACGGTGGTCCGTAACCGACGGTAAGTTTACTAATACGGAACCAAACCAAGACACTAGTTCATACAGGCCGTATGTGACTGACCTGGCTCAAGCAGTTTTCCCCTGGGCTTTGCCGTACCCGAAGAATCAATCAACTTCCACGGTGTGGGCAGCCGGAAAGTAACAACCGCCTACACACTTCCAAAAAAAGGTCACGACGCCTTCCTAAGCATCATTCTCCTTTACTCACAGACTGGATAGGCTTGAGTCCAAGCAAATAGTATAGTAAAAGAGCAGACAGCATATTCGAAAGGAGATGACTACTGACCTGGATAAGTCATCGGAGAAGAGAATTAGTTATCATTATACATATATAAACATTATATTGATTTACCTGCCCAACTGCCTAATCTTCTATGCGTTGGTCGTTTTCGAGGACGTTGTATTGAATTCGGTGCGGATAGTTGAGAAGATAAATTTACACGTGGCATTGTTGTTGATGGTTCCCGAAGATGTCTACCAGCTGCTGGAGGTGGTGGTGGTGGTGGCGGCGGCGGTGGAGGAGGTATAGCTGGTGGTGGTGCAGTAAGTAGATCACATAATGGAGATATTGATTTTTTTATTTTCATACCATCTGTGCTATTTTTGTTTTGTTTACGTGTACCACCACCACCATTTGGACTGGCGACTTTATTACACGAGATAGACGTACTCAGAACATTTGAAGTAGACGACGTTGTTGACGTGACTGTTGTCGAAGTCGTTGTACAATTATAAACCGGTACAGGTTCAAGTATATTATGTGTAGAATTAACAAAGAGATTATTATTTAATGGAATACAATATGCTGGATCTGTAGAACAATAGGTATCAGGTGGAAATAACGGTTCCAGTTGAAGTGACAGTTTATAATTTGCATCTTCAATGAATCGTTGAAGCTCTTCAATATATCGTTGAGCTTCTAGATAACTTGCCACTGATTCATTTCGAACAAAAGCTAGATGTGAAGAAAAAGTTAATAAAAAAAGCAATAGAGAAGAAATTACTTTGGAACATACTTGAAGACACACACACACATTATTATTATTATTACTGTCTTCTTTAGTTTCTAGAGGAACATAGGGCTTCAGCCACAAGTCTTCATTGTGTTCGGCTCTCTGTCAACGTTTACACCTGCCTCCAAGTCTGCCCATATGCTTTCATCTCCTCCTCACATCACCTCCTCCAAGTCACCCTCACCCTTGTACTGACGACCAACTCGCCGCTTCCCTTTCGGGTTCCACTCGACCGATGGCTTGTCTAGTGATGTCAATCAATTGATTGTTTTCTCAGAGTATGGCCAGCCAATCCATCTCCATTTCTTCCTGCCTATTTGTTTCACAATCGGTTCCTGCTACGTTGGTTCGCTCATTACCAGAGATCACTGTTGCTGATCTTTTCTGGCCAGCCATCTGATCTTGAGTGGCATTGAGCGAAGACAACTGTTGATGAAGGTCTGAAGTTTGTTTGAGATGCTCTTTATGACGCGCTGGCCAAGTCTCTGATCCGTATGGTGAGTAGCACTGACTTCACATTGGAGTTGAAAATCTGAATCTTATTTTTGATTCTGAGTGCTGCTGACTTCCACACAGACTTAAGAGTAATGAAAAGTTGCCTTGCTTTTCCGATTCTGGCTTTGATATCCTCGTCAGTTCCACCTGTAGTTGAAACGATGCTTCCCAGGTAGGTAGGTAGGTGAAGGAGGTTGCTTCTTTCAGATTTCTCCCATTTATGCTAACTGTTGTCTGTTAATGTTGCTGTTTGCCAGGAATCTTCATCACCTACCTCTGTTTTCTCTATGTTCACCTGAAGGTCTATCTTCTCTGGATGTTTCTTCTACCAACTTGTTGCTTTTCACTTGGATATCTTTCAGTTTATAAGAAATCAGAGATATATCATCGACGAAGTCCAGATCCTCGAAGTTTTTTGTGTGGGTTCAAAAGACACACACACACACACAGACAACTGATCGAATACTACTCACATCAACCACCAGTAGTACTTTTTTTAGTACACTGAAAACAATAAAACACCCCCGGATCGCTGTTTCTTTTGTTTTGGGGCCTTGAAGCTAATCAATCAACTGTGTACCCGGGCGAGACTTACCGTAGACAGCCGTATCAGTCAGTTCATAGAGCTAAAATTCTAACTAGCTACATCATATTCAGTGGAGCTAATGGAAATTGCGATGAGATTTCATCTTAAACTGTTTTAAATCATCACTAATCAAAAGATTTTAACAATTGTGAAAAATGTCCAAAAACCAAGTCACCACATGAGTTCACAACAAAATGTAAAAACGCTTACAGTATGATATGATAAGCACTTATTCCTTTCATTTTATAATCTATTTCAACGTCTGATTATTATTTTTATTACATTACGAAAGAGTTGTAAAGCTCAGTGATTTCTATCGATTTCTTACTGATGCTTTGATCAGTGAAAAAGACGAATTTCAAGAAAATGTTAAAGATCACAGATATTTCATACAGCCGGGTCCCCTTTATTACTTTGAATGAAGTAAGAAAGAACATAGGTGCATACAGGATAATACGAGCTTGTTTTATCACTTGGATTCTCGTCAGCTGCATACATCTTAAGAAAAATCAATTATAAGTTTAAAAATGCTGTCTGATCGCACTTTCTGTAACAATAACTCCAAGTTATAGATGAAACGTACAAAACAAGATATTTGCAAACTTGATGTAAGTTCTCAGTGTTGAAAAAGTCACTATTTATACAATGACTGGTTTTAACACAGAACTACCTTGCACAGATAAGGACCAGTTCAGGTGGCCAGGTTGGAATCCCAGTGGGTGCGTACTGATGAAGAGTCCGAAACGAGGGTGGCGAAACAGCTGTCCTGTACTCCCAGTTGGTTTTCCAATGGTTCTCTAATTAATGTCAAGCTCATGATGAAAATCAAGAACCTATTGCTCAAGCATTATGCAGAAGAAAATAGAGGTGGATATGCTGAGGAGGCCGCCGAATGACATCACACACACAATGCAGGCCATAGCTCCAGTGGAACAAGAATCGGAAACAAGCTGGACTACAGTACGAGAGTGACATGGTGTAGAGGAGATGAGAGATTATGGAAATTCGTGGACCCGGTCAGCTGAAGAGGACAGCACAAAAAAATAGAACAGACTTGAGATGTCTTGTTGAAGTCATACGTTTCAATTAGAACTCAAAGAAAGAATGATAATAAGGATAATAGCAGCGCACACACACACACATAATAAAACAAAAAAGAAAATAAATCTATTGACAACTTACAATAATTTGATTGTTGAAAATTAGCAATAATCCGAAGTATATTATTCATTCGATCTTGTCTGCCTTGACTATCCCATGAACTATTCTCACGATGACTTGATGATGTCGCTACAGACGATGCAGCTACATCAATAAATGTTAAATCTCCTAAGAAGACACCTATAATAACAGTTTAAAATTAAAAATAGAGAATATTTGAAAGTTAATAATATAGACATTGGGGAAAGATATGGAGTAAAATTTAAAGATATTTCAGAATAGTAAAATATCCTTCTAACTGTGTATGGGAATGCCTACTTTATCAGGAATAATCAACTGATCCTTTGAATAAAGAGAGGAAGTCAAACTGTAGATAAATCGAAATGACGATGACATGATGTCTTATGCATGCTAAACAATCACTAAGCTTGATATGCGATACACCTCCTCATAAAACAGCCGACTGTCTGTCTGTTTTCAACATAGAACTTTGCACCGATGTGCAACAGTTCAAGTCGCTACTCGCCCTTCATAAAGCATAAAAAGCAAGAGAAGAAAGTAAAAAGAAATGCAAAACACAGACATGAGACAACAGGAATAATAATAATGAAGAATAATATAGTTTCATTGTAAATTCTAAGTCACAAAGAGTGGATGCATTTGCGTCATCATTGAGAACGATTTAGAGCCATATCACCAATTGTCTTCAGAAGCTATCGGTGTTTACCGTCCTGAGGACCTCAATCAGTCAGGAAGCTTACACATTCCTTACTGGATTTCGTTGACTGATGAATCCATATTGGTTTTAGTTTAACCACCACTGGCTCTTTTCTAACCTAACCCTTTCTCGTCAGCTAACACTGCCTGTTGTCGAGGAAGGCGATGACTAGGATGTATGCGTAACACATGTCCTAACCACCTCGATCGATGTAGCTTCACAAACTTGTCGACTGACTTCCCCTCCCACCTATCTAGCACTCGACGCCTAACCTCAATATAGCTAACCATATCATAGTACTTCACATGATAGATATTATAGAGAAGATTTGTAGCTCAGGTGGATGATTTTGATGTGGTTTTGTTCTCTGAGCTGGATGGTTAGTTTGCGAAGCTTTCATCACCTTACTGGGTGACATCTCAGCGCATACTTCAATTTGACTTCAAATTGAAGTATGCGCTGAAGATGTCACCCAGTAAGGTGATGAAAGCTTCGCAAACTAACCATCCAGCTCAGAGAACAAAACACATCAAAAACTTCACATGATAGACAGACATGATCAAAAACAGCTAGTCATACAGGCTTTTCATGTCTTCCACTTTTAATGGACATGTCTTGCTCATAGTTATAAAAGAGGACGGAGCATACTGTTAAGCAGTGCATCCGCTTTTTGGTCGATAGCCGAATATCACGTCTACTCGACTACATCGACTCCTCCTATCTAGTGAAATGGTAGAACGTGTTTTTGACCACTACACTTATTTGGGAAGTTGAATCAACCATCTGTTTTTTCTTCCTTTGTGTTGTGGTGTATGCGGTATGACAACTCGAAATGTTACATTTCTATTCAAAGTTCTGTGTTGTGAAACCAGTGCCTCAGAGGTAGTCAGCCGTCGACTAGCTGTCTTCGATCATGGGTGTCTGTGTTCTGTCTCCTGTGTGAAGTAGTATGATAAAGTAAGCAATAGTGAGGTTAGATGTCGAGTGCTAGGTAGGTGAAAGGGGAAATCAATCGACAAGGTTGTGAAGCTACATCGATCGAGATGGTTAGGACATGTGTTGCGCATACATCCTAGCTATCGCCTTCCTCGACCGACGGGCAATGTTAGCTGACGAGAAAGGGTTAGGTTAGAAAAGAGCCAGTGGTGATCAAACTAAAATATGTCTTCATCAGTCAATGAAATCCACAACTCTCTCTGTCTGTCTGTTTTCGACATAGAACTTTGCACAAATGTGCGGAAGTTCAAGTCGCCACATTCTGTGTAGCACGCGAAGCAAGAGAAGAAAGTACAAGAAAAGCATAATAGAAACAGTGAGCAGAGGTGTGAGACAAAGGAGTAATAAAGAAATACAAAACAGTTTCATTGGAGATCATAAGTCACAGGGAGTGGATGCATCTGCGCCACTGAGAACGATTTTGAGCCATGTCACCAATTGTTTCCAACCATTGATTTTTACCGTCCCGAGGACCCCAGTCAGGAAGTCTACACCTTCCTACGTGGCTTAGACCAACTGTTGTGGATTTCATTGACTGACGCCAAGTTTTTGTTTGACCGCCGCTAGCTTTTTTCCAGTCTGACCCTATATCCGCTAACATTGCTCGTCGAGGGAGGCGATGGCTTGGCATACGTAACACAACAGTATCCACACAACACAACGTATCCACAACAGTTAAATTAAGCCAGACACGTAGGAGGTTGTAGGCTTCCTGACTGGCTGAGGTCCTCAGGACGGTAAACACCAGCGGCTACCTACATACAATTGATGATATGACTCCAAATCGTTCTCAATGATGATGCAGATGCATCCATTCCTTGTGAACTTGTAATGCCCAATAAAACTATATGGTTCTTCCTTATTACTATTCTTTTCGCCTCATATCTCTGTTTACTGTCTGTATTTTGTATTTCTTTTTACTTTCTTCTCTTGCTTTGTGTGCTACATGGCAGGAGTCTGGCGACTCGAACTGTTGCACATCGGTGCAAAATTCTATGTTGAAACCAGTCAGTTAATCAATGTAATATTTGAAGGTTCTGGAAGAAGACAAAATATCATGTAACAAACTCTACTGAAAATTCTGTAACACTATATAAACATTATTCGGAATAAAGTGGTTATTATCATTATGACACTCGTACACACACACACACACACACACACATGTACACACAAAAACAGTAACACAAAGGGAAGTGTAGAGTTGAACAATTCAATTCAAATTATATAAACCATGTGATTATTTTAAATGGAAACAATTAATTGAATGAGAGACTGTGGAATAACAGAGGAAATAAAATTGCAAATAACAATAATACTAATATAATTCATGCTAAATAATTGTTCATATAATAATTACACTTCTGTACTACATAAACAAATTTATTTTGTTTATTTTAGTTAATTGTATATTTTGATAGGGAATATTATGCAACAAATGTTGAACGCATGAAATCAGTAACAGATGGACACACACGAGCATATGAAAGAGAGATATAACGATAACTATAGTAATAATAATAGCTATAACAATATATAGAATTATGATTTAAAACAATGAAACACAGAAGGCTGAAAAAGACAAAACACAAAATTGAATACAATACACAGTAGAGTAAGTAAGTCAACTCCATGTATACATACAGACTGTCGCATTATCCTTCAACACAACGCCTAAAGGAGGTAGGTAATGTGGTTATATGAATAAATACTGAGAAATCCGAAAGTCCACGATGATATTAGATGGTTGCAGGCGATCGGCCACAGGAAGCCTTGGACCTAGGTTTTGTGCTAGTTGGCACTCACCAGTCATCAAGGCGTATCTGCAACCTTGAAGGAACTCATGTGCCTACTGAGATTCGAACCCGCGTCACCCAGTGGTGCAGTCAGAGACGTTACCACTGAGTTATTCGGGCTCGCGATTGACCTCCTGTAGGATTGTAGTGGATACTTTGATTGTGTGTGATGTGCCTAGTCCTCTCATTGGAGCAGACTGAATTCTATCAGTCAGGTTGTAATAAGGCCACTAATTCTAGGTAGCTCGCCTAGGTTGCAGATGCGCCTTGCTGACGAGTGCCAACTAGCACGAAACCAAGGTCCAAGGCTTCCTGTAGCCGATTGCCTCCAACCATCTAATATCATCAAATTGATGTGCACCGTGATGGTTAGCGGATATAGGGTCAGGCTAGAAAAAAGCTAGCGGCGGTCAAACAAAAACATGGATTCACCAGTCAATGAAATCTACAACAGTTAGTCTAAGCCACGTAGAAAGGTGTACACTTCCTGACTGGTTGGGGTCCTCAGGACGGCAAAAAAAACAATGGTTGGAAACAATTGGTGACATGGCTCAAAATCGCTCTCAATGGCTGGCGGAGATGCATCCACTCCTTGTGACTTATGATCTCCAATGAAACTGTTTTGTTTTTCTTCATTACTTTTTGTCTCACACCTCTGCTCACTGTCTCTATTATGCTTTTCTTGTACTTTCTTCTCTTGCTTCGCGTGCTACACGGAGTGTGGCGACTTGAACTTCCGCACATTTGTGCAAAGTTCTATGTCGAAAACAGACAGACAGACAGACCGTGATGGTGAGCTACCTAGAATCGTGACCACATTACAACCTGACTGATAGAATTCAGTCTGCTCCAATGAGAGAACTAGACACATCACACTAGTTACCAGTGTCAAATGAAAACACTCCCTCTTCTTGAAAGTACACAAACCAGGACAACAGAGTAAAAACAAATTCATATGAAATATAATAAACACAAGTGTAAGTGAGGGGAAAAGAATAGTAGTATTGTGGAAAAACAATAGAGTTTTATTGCATGTTACAAACCCTCATAAAGAGTGAATGTACCTGAATACAATTTTGAGACATATCACCAATTGTTTCCAGCATTCATTGGTTCTTGTCACCAGCCCGAGGATCTCAACCAGCCACAAAGCAGTCTACATCTACCTACGTGGCTGATTGCCTCAAACTAACTGTTATCGATTTCAATGACCGATGAAGTAAATGAGATTATTCCCTGCTGGTAACAAGTCAATCCCTGAGTCGATGAAGTGAGTTAAAGTTAATTCCATTAGTACATCTATGATGAAATTGAATACAAATGGGGATAATGGCATCCCTGAAGGACACCACTTCAAATGACAATTCGCCGTAAGCCCTCACTGGCTGAATGCATGAGTTTGAATAGAGTACCTTGATCAGTGCAATGTATTTTCTCGGAATTCCCTTCATAGCCAGACATCACCATAGTATCTCTCAGTCAACAGAATCGAATTCCGCCTTTAGGTCAAGAAATATAATGATTGTTGGACGCCGGTAAGAATTCCTATGTTCTAGAATCTATCGAAGGGTGAAATTTTGATCAATACACCCATTACCTGGTGTAAAGCCACCTTTAGGCAGGCCAATTTCTCCACAATCAAACTAGCAATCAAATCACTTCATGAACTG